TTTTTTCTCCGGCTTTGGCAGGTCGGTTGAGGCAGGGCTGTTTCAGAAAGGGTGAGCGGCTGGAGCCGCCTCTCCGTTACTGCTGGAGCTATGAGCGGGGTCATCTCCTCAAGGACGGTCCCGCTCTTGCTGGCTAGATCCCGCAGTCTGGGGTCCTCACGGACCTCAGACAGGTTCAGCCAATAAATCACCTCGCGTAGCAGATCCAGACGTTGGTCCTCAATCCGCAGAGGTGCGTTGGAGAGATCCGTCATTCTGTCGTGTTGGCAAGCAGGCGAGCGAGGAATCAGGCGAGTCAAGCCAGTAATACGGGCAAAAGGTGAATACAATCAGGAATTATCACGAGATAACGAGGGGGGCGTGGCACACACGAGGATTGGACAGTGGAAGTAAAAAATCTCGCTTGCTATTATTTCTCTAAGTTCTGATTAGCACCAAGTTTGAAGCAAATTTACCTGACACGACTTAAGTAAGATAAAGTTTCTTTATTGAAGTAGGTCGCGCCCGGAGTTGACAGCAAAGAATCAGAGTATTCCCGTCCTTAAGAAGTGAACCCCCGAACAGAGGAAAAAGCAAAATTCTTATACCTTTCTGTAACCCCCCCCCAACTGGGAATCTTCTACCCTATTGGCTAAAATGAAAAGTGTGATGGCCTCAAAGGTGGTGATCTCAAACACCTCCGCGGTCCTCCGGGCCCAGGGAAAGACAGCTACTCGCCATCAGTTGCATTTACGAATTTCCATTTTATCTATCCCATTCAATTATTGCACATAAACATACCCCTGTTCTCTATTCGATATTTCTGGCTTCTCCCCAAATATCTTCCTCTCTGACATCGAGCAGCCGATGTAAGGCATCTTGTTCCCTCAACACGGCAGAGGAGTCTCTGATTATCTTCACAAACAAACAAGCAGTTTCAGCTTCCAGTGTCATGGTCAGCAATAACATAAACATACACATTCTTCTTTGCCTAAGGCCTAAGACATTGACAGCAATCCCACTATGCACCATTCCCCGGCCCTACTGGAATTTCTCTTCCACAATATTAGTATCTTGTACATCTTTTCTTAAAAAATAATCTTTACTGTTATTGTCTTGGCACCAACCACCAAAGCAAATTCCTTGTATGTGACAACGTACTCGGCAATAAACTTCATTCTGATTCTGAAAGGGAAGGCCATGTAGTTGGTTTTTTAAGATTGCATTCCATCAGTCCATCCATTTCCTGAAACTGCTTATCCTTCTGGGTCATGGGAGGTCTGGAGCCTATTCCGGAAACTATGGGCATGAGGTGGGGAACAACCCAAGAAGGGGGGCCAAAATTAAAGGTTACAAATGCAATCGGGCTGCGGGATGGTGCTCGTTATTACGGTGTAAGTTATGAGACTCATCATTGTTTGCACAATCGATCTGGTTTTATTCAGCGGTGTGGAGGGGCATTTTTATGGTCCCGCAACACTAATATATGTTATACTTTCGTTGTTCAAGGTTGGGGACGTAGGACTGCAAGTGAGATGAGGACCCGCCTTCGGCTGTTACCTAGCAACCCGACCGCGTCGCATTGGTGCTGCGTTCTAGGACTCGGCTTGGGCTGAGAATGTAGATGCAAAGCAGTGCCCAGAGTGCAACCGCACCTACAATGGGGAGCCATTTGTGGCGGAGAACCTGAAGTTAGCCAGCATTGTCCAGCGGTTCAAGGACTTGGAAGCCCGGATGCCATTAGTGGCATCAGGCTGTGCAGTGTGTGGCAAACAGGTTCAGAAAGTCTGCCTACGTTGTGCTGAAGGTTGCTTTGCAGCCCACGTTCCTATGCGCATTGACCAGGCAGGGCATTTGCTGGTCAATGTGGAAAATGTGCAGAGCTGGACCTGCCTATAGCACGGCAATTACAAGCTATACCACTGTGATGAGGAAAACACAGTGATTTGCCAGCAGTGTGTCCCCAGCCATGGTCAAGCGGTGTGCGACGTGGAGGTCCGTCGCAATGGCATGAGGGTGAGTGGGCTCATTTGGACAGAACTTGTGTTTCGTGCAGTGTGCAGTGACAGACATGTGAGGTGTGCTGGCTGAGCGCCCGTTCACAGATCTCACAACTCTTCTCTTCTAGCAAGTACTCATGGAGCAGCAGGGGAAGATTCACAAACAGATACAGGCCATTTCAGAGAGTATGAGAATGGCAGAGGCAGATAAACGGCAGGCAGGGGTAGGACAGCTGCCGTTTGGAGCCCAGGGACCTCTCTGAGCGTCAGGTGGCTGGTGTGCCGGGCTGCTCAGAGGTTTTTGGGATCTCAAAGTGTCATTCAGCTCTCTGAGTGTGTGATGTATTCCAAACTGCTTCTATTGCAGAAAACCTTACGAGATGTCAGGACAACCATAAAACTAAGATGCAAGACAATGCAAGAGCTAGGGCAGGAAAGAGGATGTTTTCCATGCCAATGTCTCCGAGAGGGGCATGGGGCCAGTGAGCAAGCAGCGATGTACTACCCAGGGGTCAGTGAGGCCAAGGTCTACTGCCAGGCTCAGGTTTGCCCCTGGACCAGCTTTTCCTCTGGGTCCATCTCCGCCTCTGGACCTAGCCCTGGCCCCTGACCAAGCTCTGCCACAGGGCCCAGCCCTGGCCCCTGACCAAGCTCTGCCCCTGGGCCCAGCCCTGGCCCCTGGCCTAGCTCTGCCTTTGGACCCAGCCCTGAGCCGATCTCCTCCCCTATAACCAGCTCCTCCTCCGGGCCCAGCCCTGGCCCTGGCCTAGCTTCATTCCTGGACCCATCTCTGGTCCCTGGCCGAGCTCCATTCCTGGACCCAACTCTGCTACTGGTCCCAGCCCTGGCTCCTGACCAAGCTCTGCCTCTGGGCCCAGCCCTGGGTCCTGGCCAAGCTCCTTCCCTGGACCCAGTTCTGCTACTGGTCCCTGCTCTGGCCCCTAACTCCGCTTTGCCTCTGGACAAATCTCTGGCCATGGACCCAGCTCTGCCCCTGGCCATGTCCCATCCATCCACAGACCTTCTTTATCATTAAATACATAATTTACCATTAAAACGTCTTCCAGCATTAGTCTGTGCCTCTGAGTTCTTTGCTTACTCACTCGATAGCCCTGTTTGAAAAGACTGTTGTGTATGTAAATGGTAAGCTCCACTAACGGATGATCCGGATAACGGATGACAACATACCTGGCCAGGTACTCAGGGAATGTGCAAGCACAGATATCTTTAATATTTCCCTGGTGGTCATCCCCAAGTGCTCCAAAGTCAACACACTTCTATCTTGACAACTTTCTGTCACACTGGTCATCATGAAGGGCAAGTCAAGGTGGACCTGAAGATTGCACTCCCAACCTCATATGATGCTCTCCAGTTCACTGGCATCCCACCCTTTCTATATCGCACCTGTACAAGATGCTATGTAAGAATGCTGTTTGTTGACTTCATTTCAGCATTCAATGCTGTCATTCATCTGAAGCTGATCTGTACTGCACTGAATATGCATACACACAGGGTGAGTAGAGCATGTACTGTACCATAGGCAGATGGCAAAGGCAAAGGGTAGCCATGGGGACAGAGATAAATTTCCCCAGGTAATTGGCTACCTGCACATGGCACTTCACGCCATCCTCTGCCAGCCCAGAGCCGATCTGTACGTAGACAGTAGTGATGGCCAAAATGATGACTCTTGAACCATTTACGGTAGTTTTTCACTCCAGTAGATGATGCTCTTGGTTTGCTTTGGGGCATGCTTTGAGCCCTTTTTTGAACATACAGCACCATCTAGTGGGGTCAAAAAATACAGCAAATGGTTCATGAAGCACACTTTTCCCATTACTAGTAGACAGCAACCATCTTTTCTTTCTTCATAAAAGATTAAATACAAGGGCTTTGTGCCAACTTTTACTTATTATAAGAATTTACATATTTCAGTAATGTGAACAATTAAAAATAAATTAACTGAATTAAATAGTGGGTTTCCACACCTGGGCAGCTCACAGAGCTTGCAAGGCTCTGGCTGAACTTAAGGGTCACAAGGTTGCCAGTATTGCTCTCAGCGATTTATTGTTGTCTTTATATTTTAACTTGCACAGTATCTTTTAGTGCAGATAAATTTTTTTTCTGTAGAGAAACAGAAAAGTCCACTGTGGGCACATGTGCACGCAGCAACAAGAGGCAGCGTTCATACATAACACCAACCGCAAGGCAAGATTTGTTTGTAGACTGGGCAAGGACAGACAGCCCTCTGAGGACTGGGAGCAGCTCAGAATCAGAGAAGACAGTACTGCTTCCCTTGGGTCCAAGATGACACACACAGTGAACAGCGTGCACCGCACCATGTGTGGGGACCAGGAGCTCAGGGCCTCAACATCTTCCACACCATAGATCTTTGAGTACTGTATGTAGATACCCACAGAACAAACGTATATGCAATATACATGCTACACTTCTATCATAACGTGTACAAAAGCCAAGGTCACTGTAGTATGGTATTTGCAGTCTGCACATTAAACAACAGCATAGCAAATAAAGAAAGAAGTGAAATAAGCACTTACTCCCCTCTGGTGGTCAGAATCGCAAATGCCAAGATAAATAAATCCTTCTACTATATCGGAGCAGTGTGTGTACCATGAGAGATGATTTCAATCTTAGCATGTTCCTGTGTATGTGTATAAAACTAGGTACAATGGTCTGGGGGTGGACCAATGGTGGCTCACTGTACGATGTTGCGAGAGGTGTGGACAATGGTGTAGGTGACAGTTTGATATTGTGTGGAACACAACAATAATTTTAATGCAAATGTACGTTGACCTTTGGAGAACCTGCAATAAGATTCATTTTGGGGAGTTGGGGAGAGTGTGTAGGGGGGCTGGGAATCTGGGAAGAGTGGGTGCAGGTGGGTGGGTCGGAGTGAGCCATTCCGAATACACTATTGTCATTCTGACAGCATCTAGTTTTAAATGAAGCCATCAGCATAATATAATTTGTTTTAGTGTCACAAAATACAAGAGGTAACAGGAATTCATTATTATGGTTTTGTCATTATTATTTAAAGTGATCTGACATCTTTTTCTCTCAGCATTTTCTATATTTTTCCTGTAAAACATGGACAGGATTCATTTTGTCAGGACCTTTGCACTTTTTAAACCAATGCATTTTAATCCATGCACAATCCTTTTAAAGACAGTAAAGTGAATGGCTTCATTCTCCATTTACTTCTGATTGCTTTAAGGATATCTCAAATAATTAAGACAGCTGGTAGCTTGGTTAACGACAGAGATACACTTAGTAGCCTGAAGATCTGGATATGGTGGAAGGGCTCAACTGTTGTACCTTTTAGTTCCAGTTAATGGAAAACTGCTGATCAGGTAATGGCAAACTGCTAAACAGGTAAAACTGTAGGAGTATGTAAAATAAAATAATAATAAAAAGAGCTAAGCAATAAAATAAATATTTATAATTGCCAGCACAAGTCATGTTTTATAAAACATCTTTGTTTTCCCAAAATAAGAAAAATATCACAAACAACACATCGACCACAGTCACCACAAAACAGGTTTTAGGCGCGTAATTAATGCACACAGAAATAAATAAAAACTACTACATTTAGTAGGAAAGATTTGATTAGTTGGAGAATGAAAATTATATTTTAGCTGCTACATTGTGGATCTTTAAGAGGGACTGGGGTGTTGAATGACCAAGAATAATCAAGTGGTAGGAATCTAGGGAACAACAAATGGCAAGATACTCCATTGGTCATTCTGCTCTAGATTGTGTCTTAAAAGTTTATTTAACACTCTGATTTTGCTACCAGGGAGAAATGAGTGTTGAATTAATGAAAAATCACTGAAATGTCCAAAACCAATGAAGATCTGAGCTTGGAATGGGTTTTCACCACTTGTCTTGGAACAGTACAGCACTGTTTTAGTCATTGGAGTCAGCACCCAGTAGGAAAGTCTTTGTAACAATTGTATCTCCAAATCGACGAATTTTGGAAACTGTAGTGGCGATACGATGCTGTGTCGGGAGCTTGGTTCATCTTACATTAACTGCTCAGAACTTCAGGCTGGGCCCCATTAGCAGGTTGAAGTTGTGCCTTCAAACCCATTGTCTCTCTGATTTTGTAAGAACTGTGGATATAAGTCCCTGCTTATTCTAGCCAGCTGGCTGCTGTTCCTAGAGCAAATCAGCCTGTTCCTCCAGCATTTTGTTTATATAGCTGCAGGTCCTCCATCTTCTCCTGTAGCATGGAGACTGGCATGGAGACCCCGCGTGATCGCTGTAGCCTGGCAGAACGAGACTTCTTCCCCACTGTTTGTATTTTTGGGTCATGCACAGCGTCCTGAGGGGTGGAGAAAAGTCTTAATTTACCAAGAGCTTACTGTAACTTACACTACTGTATAAAAGTCAAAGCACATGATGCATAAATAATCATAATGTTGGTGTAAAAACTATGATATTGTCTGGCAAAGTGTGTAAGCTTATCCATTTCATACCCTCTCCTAAAGTCCTACAGTGGTGGTAAATTTTAACTAAATACATGGAATGGCTGGGGTGCCCCTGAAGAGAGGTTTTAGGAACTGAAGAGGTGTTCATCTAGATATCCAAACAAAATATCATTAACCATCTGAAGAACAGGAAAAAAAAATCTTGTTAGTTTTTATTGTGTTACTTTTAAACATTTGCTTTGACTGCCTAAGACTTCTGCCCAGTACCGTATATGATAATTTACAGATCTTTTTTATTAGAACTTCCTAAGTAACACGCAGGATAGCATTTGCTGTCTGTAATTCTGTCTGTAATGACATACAGCACCATGTTTACCTTTCCTGGAGATGAACCCAGGGCTTGTGAATTTGCCTCGTCCCCCCTTTTGTTAACAAGCCCCGGTGTCCACACCCCTGGGTCTGTTTGGGTGGATCGATCCAAACGCTGAGAATCCCGCTCATTTGCCTGTGCTGGGAAGGCCTCCTCCATGAGCTCTGCTCCATCACTTGGTGGGAACACAAAGCTGTCCTCTTCGGAGCCTGATCGGACACACGCATTTATACGGCAATACATGGGTCATGTACTCAACACCATCTGACAAAGTACATAAACGTACAGGAGACGGTGTGTCTGAACTGCAAAGGGGACTCACTACAGCTGTGACCTTTAGCTCTGTGATCAGGAGCAGGAGTGCAGGGACAGGACCCTCCAGAAACCTTGACCTTTCTCACACACTCCATCCCGACTTGATCCTTACATTGCCTGTGACAGTTTACCCCGCAGTCTTGGAAAGGAAACAGGTATTAATAAAGCTTTATCTCATAGCACATAAAATCAATAAGGAAGCCATTTTCATATGGTGCTCTCCCTTGTAGTTTCATATGAGAACATGCTGTGTCCTTCCTTTACCAGCTTTTTATAAAACAAACTTTATGTTTTGACACTGAAGTCTGTGATAGATTAAACTTTATATTATAGTATGCTATGTTATAGAACAGTGCTGTTTATAAACTGTTCTCTCGAACAAAGGGTTTCAATAATTATCATAAATGCTGAGTAGGAGAGTCAAAAGCTTAATTTCCTTTAGGTCTGGTGGGTTCTAGAGCTGATATTCCTTACCCGTAAACCTATCTTAGCTATATAATTTAGTCATACAAATAAAAGTTCAGTGCTTTTCATCTGAGGTACAACCAGTCCTCGGGTTAAAAAAGTTTGACTTATGGACAACTTGTACTTACAAATGGACTGCCATAAAGTCTATTATATTAAAAATTTGAGTTAAATACAATGGTTCGTAATAACGACTGTATGCACTTTGTGACGCTGGTAAAGTACAATACCGTATGTAATTACTTTTATTATTACTGAATTATTATTAAGTATTTTATTATTACTGGTCCAACATACCTACAAATTCGGCTTAAATACAGATTTAGGGAATGTCCGTAGCCTGTAAGTCTAAGGTCTTATTTTTATTTCGCTTATTCTTCAGTACCTAGCTGGCTATACACAGATGCTCCACTACTTACGAATGAGTTACGTTCCGAACGGCTGTCTAATTATTTGACAAAAAGTACTCAGTAGGGGCATTGAAACTAAATAATTATTTGACAAATGATTGATTAGTGGTGGAATGGGCTTCTTACCTTTGCACCGATAACCCTGCTTAATTACACCCCAAAGCTGTAATGGATAAGAAACAGAAAAACAATCAGAGTGACAGACACCTCTGCTGTATGGGAAGATGACAGAGAGCAAGTCAATATAAGAAGCAAGGAGAAATTCCCACACACAAAGCCTCTGCAGGTGTTGCAGAAGGTGGGCTTCTTGTACGTGGTCTCATGGAAATTGTGCAGAAATTTGAGGCCTAGCTTGGCGCACACGGACATCCCCCTCATGAAGTAGGAGTTGATTTCATTCCGGCTAATTTCTCCTTCCCTAAAAGTGAAAATGCATGAGATGCGACCGTTTCAGTTTTACATGCGGCTTGTAATTTATTCACTTTATTTTCCCTTTTATGTAACTGGATATTAGATTAAAACCAGCATATCTGACCTGTCACCTTCATGAGTACAGAAGGAAAAAGGAAAACTGGCGGCGATTTTCTCAAAGTCCTCTAGGGAAATGTAACCATCAAGGTTGTGATCGTAATTCTTCATTATGGACTGCAGGAGGCGACATACAAAAACAATGGCAATTATCACCCAGGAAAAATGGGGAATTCGCCATTACTGTATGAATCTTGAATAATCATGGGGTCTTTAGAACTCACATCAACTGTTTGTTTCACATGTTTAGAGATGGTGTCAGGGTCAATTCTAGGTGTCACTCCTGATCCCCATTCTGCTATTACTGGAACTTTGACTGGCATAGCAGGCTTCAAGTAAAAAAAGAGGGGAAAAGAAGGGTTTGCGATACATGCTCACAGTAATTGGTGTCATGAACAAACTAAGATGATACCAAAGTTTCACTAACCTGTATCTTGGGGTTCTTGGGTTCCTTGGCATACGACAGCTCATATATCTCATCATCAGTGTAATACAGGTCTAGAGACAGCTGAGGAGGCACATCAAAGACAGCGAGTCACTGAAATGTTTGGGGTAAAACACAAACACAAACCAGAAGAATCTGTGTTGTAGTTGAAAACAAACTAATGGAAGAATGGAACTTTCTGCAACCCTGACCAGAATAACCGGTGAAAAGATGGATGGATGGATATACAACTTTTTTAGCTAAGAGAAAAGAAAGCTATATACCCCACTCATTACACCTATTATGATAAAAAAAAAAAAATTGTTGTCTACAAGAACTGAAACTATTAGACTTTACAGCAACAAGTTGTTAATTCTTCGAAACAGTATTATATGCAAATAACACAAGTAGGCCTGTCACGATAACAAATTTTGCTGGACGATAAATTGTCCCAAGAATTATTGCGATAAACAATAACATTGCAGTGACGTCATATCCGCCAGTGCGAAATACGGCTCACTTGCTTCCGGTTTGAGTAACTATGAACGCAAGAAAGGGTAAACTTGTGTTTCAGAAGCTAAAAAACAACAATAATAACTTCCTAAGTGTACCACGTCCTCAAAATACAATTAAATTTTAAGTTTCCACGCAAACCTCTGGGAAATTCGGCAAATCCAACATATTTATACTCACGTTTCATATAATTTATTGCCACATTTTACTTTACCGCTTATAGTGAACATGTCTGCCTGGGCGAAATTGATCATTATAATCAGTTGATCATCATAACCGATTTTTTATTCTTCTTGTCTCAGTCTAACTGACACGTGTATATTTCTTACATGAATAATAGGTAATAAAACGGACAGCGTCACTAATTTTTATTGCAAAATATAGTACAACCGTTTCAAATGCTTTTCAAATTACAGTACTGTACAAATTAAATTACTAAACTGTGTATAATTAAAATACGCTATATAATACAGTATAATATTCTGTACCTAAATATTAAATTTTATTTATACAGCGTATTTTCACATTGTCTGAAAGCGTTCGCTGCAGCATCTCCGTGGCTCGTTTTATGGCTGTTTATCATAAGCTTTGATGAGTCTATATAACACAAATCTGAATATTGAACAGCTTTAATTAGAACTCTGACAAAGTACCAGTGCTGCCATACTTTTACACTACGATGTTTGTCGTGCTTCTTCATGGATCTGAAGAAGCAACCTCTCCTGTTCCCGTGTTTCTGTTTGACACTAAGAACAGCAAACACAGATTAACGCAATGTGTACTTAAGCACATATAGAACATACTAATTAAGTTAAACATTCTCCGCTAGAATGACTGGGGATGTTCATAGTTACTTCATTGCCACATGCTAGGGTTGCCAACCGTCCCGAATTGTCCGGGACATCCCGCAATATGGGCGATTTTGATTCGTCCCTTCACTGTTGGCAACCTTACCACATGCATACACTATCACTGTCTGGGAGTAATGTCTATTAGGGTGAGCTATAGCTAACACCAGCCACAAAGTCACAGACCGGAAATGAGCGAGCCGCATTTCCATGAACGCGGAAGCTGACGTGCAAAGAGCCCACTGACACGAGAGTTCACGACTCATTACTAGTTATGTGTTGTTCGCGAACGAGACGGCTCTTTGAGCCGACTCTTTTTAGTGAACGACGGGAGCCGGCTCCTATTCAAGAGCCGTTTTATTAATGTTTATAGAATTGTTCGGGTTTTTGAGGTGACTAAACATTAAGGACGACTGTGACAGGTGTTGTGCCAAAAAGTGACTGTCTGTAAGAAACTGATTACGATCCGCGGGAGCGCGCACAGCCTGTTCAGGACGCATCGCAGTTTCTGTGCGACTAAGGCGGGTAATTTCGATATCAATCGTCTTAAAGTGCAAAAAGTATACAGTACATGTATCCCCGAGCTAATAGCGAAGGTATGTCTTTGTCAGGTTTAAGGGTTTGGTGAATTTTTAAATAAATAATTGCAATAATAGTCAAAGGAAGCCATTGTCATGTAAAACGCTTTAAAGCAGTCCTGCGTTGTAAAACTGTAACCTTATGTCATGAAGCCATGGAAGTTCAAATGTGACACATTAATGTAGATTTATGTTTATAAATGTTCCTACGTCTAAATGAGTTTCACTACACAACCGATGTGCATTACTTATTAAATAAAGACAATTCTTCATCTTGCAGTCATATTAAAGAGTCGGTGGATTTTTCCTGCTCTGTGCTGCAGTATCAACCATCCAGTCCTTTTTACCACTTTAAACACCTGTATAGGACCAGCATAACCAGTATAATGTAGTTCACCCATTGCCAAAAAGTGATTACACTCAATACCTTTTTACTGAATGGCTCTTTCTGCCTGACTAATTTTTTTACACTCTTCTGGGTTGTATGTACAGATTAGTAAACATACAACCCATTTTTATGACTTTAAAGACCTCTACAGTACCAGTATAATGTAGATCACCCATTGCCAAAAAGTGATTACACTCAATATCTCTTTACTGAATGGCTCTTTCTGCCTGATTTTATTTTTTTTACACTCTTCTGGGTTATATTTACATGATTAGTAAACATATAACCCATTTTTATGGCTTTAAACACCTCTATAGGACCAGTATAATGTAGATCACCCATTGCCAAAAAGTGATTACACTCAATATCTCTTTACTGAATGGCTCTTTCTGCCTGAGCTCTTCTTGGTGAGCTGAGCCAAATGAGCCGGTTTGCTAAAAAGAGCCGATATTCCCATTTGGTAGAGAGAGAGACACGAGGAAAACAAACAAGCATGCAAATGAAAATTATCACGGCCGGAAAAATTATCGACCTCATTTTAATTATTGTGCAATTAATTGATTTATCGTTTATCGCAACAGGCCTAAACACAAGTAATGATCATGAACTGATTGTAGTAGCTTCCAGAGTAAACCACTGACTCTGCCCAGGTCCCCTGCCTGCCATGTATCTATATATAACTATATAAGACCCTTTTAAAATGTCTTCTGTAATGAAGAAAACTATCTGTGGGAAATATAATTGAAATAAAACTAAAATAAAAAATATATATACATTGCCCAGTTGTGTGAAACTGCAGTTCTGAAGTGTTATTGATGCAAGTGAAATGCATATCAATAATAATGATTAATTAAAGGTGAATTACTATGTACGTTCATTTTCATGTTTAAAGAATGCAGAAGGAACCTTGCCTTTCCAACCAGCCACAGTCTATTTCATTTCGGTTCCATTCACTGTGACTACATCCAGATCCACTTCCCTACCACAACCCCTTACCGTGAGAAGATGTAGCAAGTCTTTGTTGGCCTCAAAGGGTGGTTTACAGGAGTGAATGCCCAGAAGATCATTGACATTAGTGTAGAGGTTCTGCAGCTTGCCCAAGTTGATCTTATTGTCCTCCAGGTAGTCAGGCAGAACCTCGTTCAGGGAGATCAGATCCTTGAGGTGTACCCCTAGGATGGGTACCTTGAAACCTGTGCATTCACTGTACACCCGGCGGTAATTGCTGTAGTTACTGTAAGATGACAGCAGGTCAGTCATCTCACTCAGGGTCTGGAAGGCAGAGAGAAGAAGTTAGGACTGGCCATAGAGATGGGGTACAGTAAGAAGAGAAGACTCAAACTACACAAAATCATAGAATTCTTCATGCTTAATTCATGCTTGACACCATATCTCACAGAGTATTTTCCTGGGCAAGTTGATGTTGAAAAGCAGACTTGGATCATTGCTTTTGCTTTGGACCATATGAGGTAGCTGCCTGACCTTTGTGATGTCCTGAGGCAGTAAGCTGGACGTGTCTTTGAGGCGGGAGATGGAACTGTGGCAAAGGCCCCCCATCACAGCCATTAGAGTGTTGAAGTTCTGTAGGGTGCGCAACTTCTGCACCGAAAGACATAAGGAGCAGACATCAGCGAATTCAATTCAATTTAATTCAATTCAATTCAGAGTTCAAAGTTCAGAACAGGTATAGAGTCCTGGTCCGGTATGTGGTGTTAAATATGGCCCTATTTATGTACAGTATATAGTAGATGAAATGTATTAATCCCTGAGGGGAAATTAAGAATACAAATATGTTTGCTCCTGGTACCTGGGCAACTTGGATGAACTTGGTGAAAACATGGGCCCTCTGCTGTGCGGTGTGCCTGCTCAGGATCATCAGCTGCACCCACTGGGAGACCCCGTTGCACATCATCACTGAGCGTTCCAGGGCTGGGTTGCCACGCACTGAACCGTTCACTACATAGCTACGGTAATCCAGGTACTGGCCGGCAGATGGGGGGAGAGAGAGGAGGATCAGCACGTTAATGTTAACGAAAACTCAAACGATAAGAAAACATTTTCGTAAACTGAAATAAAACACGATGCAGAAATGAAATTTAAACCTACAATACAAAAACTATAAATATTACTTCCAAAAATCACTGACATATAAAAGAACCAATGTGAAATATTTTGTATTACCATTTTTAGTAATAAGTAGCCAAAGTATTTCTGATTTGTTTATTCTTTATCACCAATAATAATATGTGGAACAATGTGTGTTTCATTTTGAGGACATTAGTGCATAAAGTGCACCATGAAGAATTTTCTAATGATCATTTTCTAATGATCAGACACAAAATAGCTGTACGACTTTCAGTCTCTCTGGAAATAGAATTACTGAAACTAAAATATAGAAAAACTAAACAGAAATATATCTTTAAAATAAAAATTAAATGAATAGTTAATGAAAATGAACTAAAACCAAGCTGGGTTTCAAATAAAAATTGAATTCGGTAACACTGCTTCCCACGCGACTGGTTACCGAGACGCTGCGGAAGTTTTCAAACTCTAGGTAGCTGAGGTGCTCCGCCAGCTCTCCTGGCTCCATGTGGTCAAAGAGGAGAGACACCTTCCGCTTCTTCATCGAGGGAGAAGGGGCCAGGGATGGAGGCACTGGGGCGTTACTGAGGAGAAGAGCGGGGTGGGGTGTGAAGATTAACGCAAAACACAAAGATCTGAGGGCTTCTAGGAACATTGACACATACAGTCAATCAGTCAGTGCTGGTTTGTACTTCTCTGATGACACACGGTCTAATTGAACCATTATTTACTATCATTTCCTGTTGCACATCACCTTCCTCCTACTGCTGTCCAGGCAGGAGGTGTATTGCTAGACTATCCAACTCTCCCGAAGTGTTTTTTTCCGTTTGAGGCCTTTGTTTTGTCAACATGTGCACAAGATACAGGCTCGCCGCGGTCATGTTGCCATATCACGTGTCACCCCTTGGGCAAACCGAGCAGGACGTTAAGGCTGCTCTTCACTTACAGGCAGGATGTGTCAATCAGCTGCTGGTGCATCTCCTCCCCCTCTTTCCTTACTAGGGTCCACAGGTCACTCATCACCCTCTCCAGCAAGGGGTCAGCTTCAAACACATCTGGGAACTTCGTAATCCACTGCCTGTAACAAGGGAGTGGGTGACCAGTATTGGTAATGGGATGTGAAAGGGGATATTCGGGTTGTGTCAGAGGTTCTGGGGGGGGGGGGGGGGGGGGGGGGGGGGGGGGGGGGGGGGGGGGGTCCCTGATGGGCAGTCCGACCATGACGGGTAACTATGCACAATACAAGCTTATATGGGGGGTGGGAATGGTAGGTATGTTCAGTGATTCACTGTGTGTATATCATATAGAGGTGGAAAGTTCAACTTCACAAGGTACAAATCCAGACCAGGGTTTTGTTTCAGCCAACCAGTTCAATATTGTGTGACTGTGTCTCTTTATGCTTTGGTTGGAACAAAACCTTGGTCTGGATTTGTACTTTCTGGACCAGAACTTTCCATCTCTGATGTCATATATATTACATATCATGTCCTTCATTCGTACTGATATGAAACAGCAACTTGTTATGGTTAAAAACTCTGTAATTAAAACACATTAACTATGTAAGAATTACATATTATCAGTGTTATTGAAACATCACATTATGAATAGTCCTTGGCCTGGCTAAACTTTCAAATTTTATTTAAATTATTAATACTCCTTTTATCTAAATAAAGTGACTGGCAACCACCTTATCTGAGAATATTAAGTACAGGATGTCATGTTACCCTTTTTTTTCTTGTTTTTATCGATACCACATACATACATGTCCGGAAGTATGAGGTACCTCCACAACCAGCCCCTAACGGTAAAGCTAGCGATCATCTCAGAAATGGTGGAATGCTACCTCAGCCCAGTCGTCCGGCTGAAAGTGTGTGCAGCAGCCGGCTGAAATGTCCAGGCGGACATTTAGCTCAGCTCTGAATTACACACCTCAGACTCTAAGCACATGCTGGGATCACACTTAGATTTACCATAAAACACAAGCCTCCTATTTTTATCTAAGTCGACGAGGCTAATATATACACATGCAAATACATATTATTTTGCACTGTACTGTAAAGAAAACAAACAATCCAAGAATCCAAAAGATAACTACAAATAGAAGAGCTCTTTTGACATCACCAAATGAGCAAAATAAGCATCTAAATTCACCCAGGTTTCTAAGTGCCAAATACTCGGCCCTTTCTCTGCTATTCCCCTGAATATGCAAATTTCATCCAAATCCGATGCATATACAAATGCAATGTAAATGTAATTCTCAGATGTAAAGTACACAGTGTATCTTGTCTGTCTCTTAATCCTGCCAGTCCCTGCAGTACAGGTAGGACAAGTTTTATTTTGGGGTAGATATCCATGCTTGCAGGTAGGGAGAGGGCGAGTGTGTGGATACATATGCACATTGAATAAAACAACTGGTGCAGTGGAGATGATGTATGCCTTAAAAATTAAATTGTTTATATTTAGTAAGCTGCACTGACCTGATAAAATGGCATATTTGTGCACGCCGCTGCCCTCTACTGTCCACAGGGCAGTCCTTATAAGTAAGATAGTCAAGGAATAACAAATTAAATATCTCCATTGTGCAAGATCTTTTCTTACACACACACACAGACGCACACATGCATACACACAGCATATATGCAAAAGAAGACAATAATATACTCAGCACCAGAATGAAGAGGATATAGAGAGACCAGCTTCTGTGCAAAGACGTGGGAAGGCACCACCCAGTTGTGCATCATCAAGGTCATTTGGACCAGCTGGGAACTCCTGCTGAGCTTTCCTTCCGAGTCTGCAGCACGACATCACAACCACAGGTTACAGCACACAGGACAGTGTTTTTCACTGGCCTTTTTGGGGCCTCAGACAGTCCACCTTTCTTTTCCCTCCCAGCTCCCAGTAGGAGCAAAAACATGGACTGTCTGGGGGTCCCTAAGGACCGGGTTCAGAAACATTGATATAGAAGAGCTGCACTAGATCGCATAGACAGGTCACTCAGGCGCAAAATGACTTTCATGACTGTACTGCGGATTCATGTACAGGAGCCAATTGACATAGACAGCAAAGTGGTCCCACAGTGCTGGGTGACGAGCATCATGGGTAATATGAAGTGGAACTGCACAGCACGGTGACCCAGAGAGAGACAACGCAAAATCATGATATGAATGCGAGTTTTCTGCATTAACGGAAGAGGGTGTAGCGGATAGGGCAAGATCACACCATACATAATGAGTGTTTGTTAATATGCAGTCTCTCTGTATCATATCTTACTTTATTGACAATTGCTTAGACAACACCACTAAATTCATTAAAACATGGATGGCAGACACTAGGATTGTGGAAATCAGGAAAATTACAATGCAGGAGGAGAGACAGAAGAGATTAATATTCTTCCTATCGACGGTCCACATCTTTCCTCCCTCCCAGCTCCCTGCCAGACACAAAAAAAGTGGACTGTCTGTGGGTCCCCAAGGACCAGACTGGGGAACACTGATCTAAAGGGTCAAAGGCCAGGACCTGAGCCACATCCTACTTAATCCCTTCATTTCTTCAGTCTCTCCTTTTGCGTTGTGATTTTGTGGGATTTTCACATTGCAGACAGTCTCTGAACTGTCTGCAGGTCCCTGAGGCCTGGACTGGGAAACACTGGTTTAGATGTAATCAGAAGGAAAATGAGAGTGAACGCTGAGTGGTTCTGGAGGCCACGCTTGGCGTGCAAACCCCCTGGTGCTCACCAAAGCAGAGAAGACAATGCTGGATGAGGTCGTCTAGGCTCAGGGCACGGGTCAGGTAGCCGTGGGAGGGGCTGAGCAGAGCTCTGCTTATCTCCGAAGCGCTGGGGCAAGTCATTCGCCGAGTCAGTGCGGCCCTTTGACATTTCACCCCACCTGGGCTATGGGCAGACTTCCTGCAAAAGAGAGAAGACATGACGTCAAACAGGCCAAACACTTAATATCAAAACAATCACTCAGGTTCAGTACTGTGCAACAATCTTAGGCAGTCAAAGAAACGTTATTTATCTGGGTAGTAAGTGTAGATTTGTTAAGAACAAAAACACAATTTAACATTAAAATAATAGTAGCACAATAAAAACTAATAAGAAGTTCTTTTGTCCCGAAAAAAAGTGACTGATATCTAGCCGCGCGGCGCTTCAGTTCCCAAACCTCTCCTCAGGGGCACCCCAGCCATTCCATGTATTTGTTACATTTCACCACCAGCTCACTAGCCAAATCATGGTGTGGTTGTGGTCGAGTCAAAAAATACACTATGTATTGGGTGGTTGATTCAAATACTGGCGCCATTTCATGAGAAGTTTTGAAATGCTTAAGCTGACAAACTTTGACAGACGTAAAATTATAGATTTACACCAACATGATGATAATTTAAACATCATTTTCTTTGACTGCCTAAGACTTTCAAAAAAATGCTGTATTTCATAACTAGGTGGAGTCCCGGACTAGGCCAGAATGGACTGGTACTCGGTGTACTGATGTGTCATAAACATATTGCAGGTCAGCTGCTTTGATCTTAACCCGTTTGTTTCAGAGGTCTCCACCGAGCAATGACTTATACAGCAAGATAACCATCAGAAAACATGCAGGGCTCCTATTGGTTGAGAATATCATGTGATGTGTTTGATGGGGGCGACCTGCTTTCTGTTGTGCTGGTGAAAAATGTAAGATTAACGCACGGCTAGTATTACGTGATCTTTAAAGTGCTCCTTGGTTGTCCTGAGTGCGTAGTGTGTGTGGGCACGGGCGTGTACGCACCCTGTGACTCGGCAATGTCTAAAACGAGGTTGCACTAGAAGAGCACAGTTTTTCATCTTGCCATCAGCAGCTGATGTGTAAGATAAAGCTGAAGCCGTTGCCTTCAGAGTTTTCTGATACTTCTGTAATGCCGCTGCAATCGGAGAGCTACCCCTGCTTGAGCTCTGGTGCTTACTGCCTTACGCAGCCGCTTGTCTGTGCCTGTTAGCGGCATTCTGGTCTGGCATACAGACAGAGCCAGTAGGAAGCATGTGCGTCCGCTTGTTCTTCTGAAGTGGACCAGCTCCAATGATAAGCAGTTACGGCTTGATGTCACTCTGGGTAAGCTAAGAAGGAACAGGAAGCACAGCGGCTTCAGAGAAGTGGTGGTGACTTCTTAGAATGTCCAGAACCACACACGCGTTGACCAAGAATCCACACCCTCGCTTTGAGCTTCTTTCTTGCAGACACACACACACACACACACACACACACACACACACACACAGACAAAATGCTTATTTTCAGTTCTCCCCAAATTGTTGCTTAGTACACACTTTCACATCCCGAATATGTACACACATACACAGTCACACATGTAGACATAGATAAAAATCAGGTAGAGGAAATGGCTTTACTTGGGCAAATCTCTTGGCTGTATATTCCCGTGTACTGTCACTGAGAAGCCCAATGAGATCCCCCAACCTCACCTCCTAGATGCTGCTATTACTGTCAGATCTTTACCAACATGTGTCTTACCTTTTTATTTATGCTAAGGGTGAAACCAAAAACAGGAATGCATCCATCAGACAGCCCAATAAAAGCACATGCTGTCGAGCTCGGCCATGCTCTGTTAAGAATTTATATCAGGATGGGGCACAATAAACCACAGTGAGTACACACAACTACACGATAGCCCACCAAATCTATTCTAGAATTTACTAATTTATCCAGCACTCTGTTAGATCTTTTTTCTCTTATGCTCTGGATGAGACAGGCCTAAATTATCCTGACTGAGATGAAAATGACAGTGAATACCAAAAGTTCTACCTAAAATTCACAATTAAAAAAAGTTTTACCGGTTAAACCATGCGATCTAGACTCAAAATTCTTTCTCACTAGTCCTGACATGAACATGAGAAATTTGATAAAAATCAGGCCAAGCTCACGTATATGGAAAGTTAATCTCATTAACAGGATGGCGAACCAGTCAAATAATAGCAAAGGCTGTTAGTACAGGAAAGCAGGAGTACAGTCTTAAAACTTTGGCCCCTTGTCACAAAATCTGGCAGGTGACACAAAGCCCATGGGAAAAATTTTATGTGATCAGGGCCCATGGTGGAAATATTGTGCAATAATCCAGACAATAATTATATTGGGTTGTAGGATTTCATTTCCACTTTTTTTGGTGGGCCAATACGAGGGCACAAGCAGCCAGTGTTCTTCAGCATTAAATATTTAGCTATTTAGACTTTTAACTATTTAGCTGATTCTCTTATCCATAGCACAATTGTGGGGTCAGCCAGTCTTGGGAGGAAGAGGGGCTAAGGGCCAAAAGTGAAATCACTCTACCGACCATAGGATTTGAACCAACAACCAATCGCGTGCATGGCATCCTAACCCACAGAGACACACATAATCACCTGTCCAGGCTTCCATCCTGGGCCTTAGAGAAGAGAATAACGAAAATGGTTAAAAGATTTAAAAAAAAAAAAACACCGTCACACTGTAGATGAGTCAAGTCTATTTTGAAACCCTTGCTCATTCGTAGAAAGTCTTTGCGTATCTGTCACGCCATGCCCAAGCATACGCAATTCTCACGCATATGCACGGGCAGTGCAATCATTACAACATGCATTGCCCGCCCTACCATGCACTGCCATCTCATCCAGGGTGTCCCCGGGCTCACCATGACCTTAGACCTGGATGAGCAGTGATGGAAGATGCATGGAAGGAGGGGTGGATGAATGGATGGAAGGATATTTAAAATCTGGGACATCTGAAAAATAAATGATTGCCTCTGTGTAAATGTGCTCAGTTTAAACACTTTCCCACCTGACCGCTTGATTTGGTCAGGGACTTTGGCAGATGCAGCTGCCATCCATTTCCACATTCTCTTAGTGTCCTTTACGAGTGTTTTCATCTCGTCTTCCATCCTCTTTTTATTTCATTCAGAAAACAAAGCATCCCTTTTTCATTGGCTGTCGCCCGTCCCCCCCCGTCCCCCCTCACCTCCCCTCTCCTTTCTAACTACACAGCTCTTTCACACGGCGGCTCTAAGGCCAGGCCTGTCCCCCTGCCTATCTGCCTTAATCCCCCCAACGTCCTCTCGCGGCGCAAACTGAGGGCATGCAAATTCCCTTCCTTTCTCTTGTTAATTGATTAATTGATGCCAAATTGTTTGCGTGTGAATCTCTCACTCTCTTTCCCCTCAGAGAACTGAGTGTTCGCACAATCAGGCCATTGAGCCTTAAGCCAAAGTCAGCAACAAGCCGCGGCCACATCCACCGCATTGCACCCTTTACGGGAAGGGCTTCACTAACCCTAAAATGCACGGCTTCCAAATCCAGCTGTTTCTGAACCAACTCAGCTGGAGCATCCGCACTTGTCTGGATTTTCAACAGCAGCCTTGTGCCTCTGTCCTCTTGGAATTTGACTGGTTTACTTACAATTGGCTATTTTCTTCCTTTTGTTGAATGTTAGCATCTACAGCAGAACCACAGTTATCTAGGTCAGACACGTTATGGGACCCCCTAACGATGACACAAAGTACCACAGAGTTGTACACTGACAAATTATTTGGAATGCCTTGTAAAATAATAAGACATTAACATTTCAAATGTTCACAGAGAGGTATATATTTCTAAAATAATTCTGTTAACTTTTAGCCAAAAAAAGTTTGCATTGTCTTCAATACTAAACACAATGCAGTATAATACAATAGATCTGGGCTTAAATCTATTAGTTGTTAATCTATTAGTCTTATTCTGATACATATACATAATGTAGCCCATTATCCTCTTATCCACTTAAGTAACTAAGCAGGGTTGTATTATTAGACACAGGACTGTGGTGTATGGCAAATCAGACCACTCCCTCGAAATGTATGACAGTCAGGTTTTGTGTGAGTTTTAGGAGCATTGTTCTTTAGTTCCTCAGTGTAAAGGGCCTTTCTTTGTGTGTGACTCTTTGGTTATTAAATGAAGAATACAAATATTACCCAAGAACAGATATGCTGCAAAATAGGTTAAGTTGTAAAAATGTTTCATTGGCCGTGGATCCAGGCAAAATGAGGATGTCAACAAAATGCTCCAGTAATTAGTGTAAATAAATTTAGCCCAAATTCTAACTCCTGTGACTGGGGACAAGGACTGATATAATGACCATTTGTTCTGTTTCCTGCTAATTTGGGTAGAGAGTTATGTGTAATATCAATCCACACTAGCCTCTGAGTGTATGTACATTACAAAGGCTAGCTATCAATCCCTTGCTCTAGCACACTGTTGTACTTAATCATATCAACTAAGACTATACAGTAAAGTTTCACTATCACATTTTGACTCACCACCAACTCAGCTCACCAAGTAAGCAATCGGCTCATCAGTAAGACGGTCGAAAAAAAACACAGTACAAATGTCTACACCGAAAGCACATTCACCTTTTGAAAGGTGCTTTCTTCACTTGAAAATCTTATTCACACATAACCATTAAGTGGCATATTTTTATAAAAATAAACTGGAACGTGTTGAGAATAACGAAGCAGGACATGCTGAAAACATCAACACACAGAGGGACAAACAACACAAATACCACTACACCCTTCTGTGTGGGCTACACATGTGTCACTGCAGTCCTTGAAAGGAAAATCACCTTGAAGAATAAGGACACAATTCCACAAACTGAACACTTAAGGGGGTAACATTCACACGAGGGCCTGCACACTGCATTAAGCTAAGCAGAAATATCTATTCAGCATTGTTTTTACACCTTGTCGCACTGGAGAGCACAGCAGAAAAGTTCCCTTTACTTAACATGAAACTCGAAAACCACACGCTCAGACAGATAACCACAAGGACACACTGCAAAAATGCAGCAACTGCATGGTCTTCACGCACACACAGACACACACGCAGGAACACTTACCGAAAACAATGCCACAATGACAAGTGCTGAGAGACAGCACAATACAATACAATATGATACGGAACAATACAAAATAACAGAAGAATACCTCTTGGCCTCTTTGCGATTCATTGCGAGTTTACACGCCTCTCTTCTCCTCCTTGTGTCCTCTTGAGAAGGCATCAGTTACTGTTCCTGTGCCCTAGAGGTCCATGACTGGTTGACTTCTGGCTATCTCCGTGTATCGGTCGTTACTGTATTGGTAACAGACCCGATCCTGCTCGGAATGCCTGGAGAGCAGATGTCACATGCAGGTCTGAGATCAGCCCTGCTCTGGTTCAGATGCTGCTCTGGGATCCTGGATGAGCAGCTCTAGTGGCTGCCAGATTTGTTCAACCATGAAGCGAAAACAGACAGAATGCACTTAAGTGGTTAACACAAGGCTATAGGAAACAAAAAGAATGAAAGCAAAAGAAATATTTACAAATTTTTAAATACAACAGACTATTCATTTAAGCAGAACATACAAGTCCCTTACATAGAGGAACTGGTTCTGAGAGATAAGGGAACTGTCATTAGAGAGAGAGAGTAAGACAGAAAAATCGGGGAGGGGGCAGTTTGTGTGTGTGTGTGTGTGTGTGTGTGTGTGAGAGAGAGAGAGAGAGAGAGAGAGAGAGAGAGCGAGCGAGCGTTAGTTTAACTTGTTTTAACTAAGAGTCAGATTTGGATTATTTACAATTCAAAGTCACCCGTACAAAACTTACGAAAGTCCACACTGCCACCGACTTTATTCAGTTAACGGAAAAGACTCTTGCTTCGTAGTGAACCACAAGGCACACGGCCATAAAAGAACCAGGGACTAATTTAGCTACTTTGAAACATCCAATTACCGCAAATGAAATCCACAATTTGTTTTTAATATCATCACCCATTTGTTATTGCTAATATCAGTAGCGAGCCTGGGGCTGTGGCAGGTGTCAACATGCAGCTCTGCTGGCGCGTGCCAGTTCCAACGGCCGGGCGGCCGTGCTGTGTGGTGCGCAGCGGTGTGCTCATCTCTAACGGCAGATAACTCACCATGTGGTTTTTGTATACACGCTCTTCTTATTTGGTTCATTTGACTCTGTTGCAATATTAGTGTGCCACAAAGAGGTCGTTTTTATATTCTTTAATTCTGGCGATCTCAGCCCAGCACTCATTAGAATTAACGCAAAGGATGGGATCAGCTATTTAAAACTAAAGGGCACTCAAAAGGACCCATGTTGGAGAAAAGTTGATTTAAAAGTTTGTTTAGTGGAAAACATTAAAGTAAGTGGGAAACAAAATAGCAGGTTTTCTTACATCACATTTTTTTTTAATTATTTTTTTATAAATGGCTATTGAAAGATGGTCTAACAGGTGTCCATTTTTATTTCAATCTGCCGCTCAGTCTAACTGGCGTCTCCCCCCTCACATCCCCTTCAGTTTGGCTTCGCCCCCACCCAATTTCCCTTTTCTTTATCCTTTCGCCTGCACAGTCAGTTACTGTCTGAGGGGTTTGATCCCAGACTGTGCAGCTGGACACCGGGATTCAAAGACTTAATTGTTGCACGGAGAAGAGGAGTTAGAGGAAGAAAACAGGAGCAACTGTTTTGCTAAAACATGTAAAAACATGTGTTTGTGTTTATGTACGCCATTAAGATGTGCATGGATGTGATTTTAATAACTTTTGTGAGCCATTTGGCGGTTTCACGTTCTCTTGTGATCAAAATTAAGTGCTGGGCTTTTTCACCTGCAGGTAAGTGACATATGACACCGCTAAAGTTAAATAGATAATAAAATAATACTTGCTTAGTGACAAATAGGTTTATAGAATTACACACTGAACAAAGGTGAAAGACCCATTTGGAAAACATTGCCGCAAACAATGTTGATTGATATCGCCGAACACTGACACGCGGAATGCGCGTGGAAATGACCGGAAGTAGAACCTGAGGGTGGGACGCAGAGCTACCATAATAATGGGGCCTCTAATTGGCCTCGGTGCCGGTTATCTGACAATGTCGAAGAAATGCTTCGCAGCCGAGCCGTTCAACTTGTTTTAGATTCATTTGCTTCCTATGCACCTAAGGCCCGACACCAGTAAAGATACACTTAGGTAAATATCAGCGTTTTTTTCGTTAATTACCATTAGCTGGCTCAAGACTGTACATTTTAATACATTGCGAATCTTCATTTCGCTTATTTAACCTGCAACGTTAACCGCAAACCACTAGTGTTTTTTGCATTCTGTAGCTACCTGTGACATTACCAATCAGTTGTGTGTAAGCCAATACACATTTTCATAAATTTTTTTATCGATTTATTCATTTCCTTTTTAACGGAGGAGGAGGCCCGATGCTCCTCGTCTGCGGCCATGCCGGCTTTACCTGAGGAGCGTTTGCGCATCTGCGCTGTAATCGGCGCCCTGAAAGGGGCCGGAATCCGGGTGAAGAACTGGAAGAGCTTCCTGAACAGCGGCGACGCCGCCAGGCAGGTGCGCTTTGGAGCAGCGGCTCCCTCCGTTCGCTCTCCAGTGGCAGCATAACTTTCATTCATAACGTTCCTGCTGTTATAACTGTTTCGAACGAAACAAGATATTACAGGGTTGCCAACTTTGGTCAGCTGGCTGGAGTGAGATTTTCAATCCGAGACAGTCTGCACACGCATGAACATGCATTTTCATGCATGTAAGAGTTGTATTACCTTGTAAATAGGTTTATAATGGAATAAAATAGATCTGCCGTAAGATTTCTTGTCGGAAAGCGTAAGTGCCTGAGAGTTGGCAACCCTAATATTACATAGACCTTCACCCATGTATCAAACAGGGGTCAAGTGCCGTCGTCTTCATCAGTCTATTATTAATAACCTATAAGGAGCAAAATCACTTTTTGATGGTTGTAGATTTGTTTGTTGTAATTAGTGTGGAATATATTCTGGAAGTAGTTGCTCGAAGTTATTTTAAGCCTTGTTGCATACACTTAAAACCCTGTAATTGCTTTCTAATTTTGTCTGTAAGTTAAGGTAATCGATTTTGTTGAATGTCTTTAAGTTATTTGAAACCATTGCAGCAACATTTTCAAACAAGACAAATATTTTGTTAATATATTTAGCTGTAGGTTTAAGAGAAGTTTTGCCTCGTCTTTGACATAAACCTGCCGTCTCCATCAGGAGAGTCGCGGCGTCTCCTTTGCCTTCGGACGCGACTTGGTTTCGCTACCGCAGTGTCACTTGCCGGAAGTAGGGGGCTTCGTTCCGAAGTATGTAAACCGAACTTAATGCAATTCTGCCTACTAATTACAACAGTAATTTGGTGTTGATTGGAAATAATACAATGTACGTCCAGGGTATACCTTACCTTGTGCTTTATGGGATAGGCTCTGTCCTACTCTGTACATGTTAAGAGGTTATGAAAGATGGATGGATGAATGAATGGCGATGTGTGTGTGTGTGTGTGTGTGTGCGTGTGTGTGTATACATATTATAAATATGTTGCATGCATTAAAAGGATTGACTTCCTTGGAAATAATAAAATTCAGTTGCGTCACATGCAATCTATATGAAAAATATCACATTAAGAATTCCGCGTAAATGATTTCTAATATGATTGCCAAACATGTATTTATCTCTCAGATTCTTGGTGGACTCCTGTGCGTTTCTGTCACTCCATCTTCACACAGAGGGTCTCTTCAGGAAAACTGGTTCCCTGAGCCGCATCCGCTCTTTAAGGGTAACATCCCGGGGTAGGGGGGCAGGGCAGGAGGCTCTAGGGCAGGGGTGGGGAACCTGTTCCATGGAGGGCTGGTGTGGGTTTTTGGGATGACCTCTCAATCAGCCAACTGATCAGGACTGGAGTTGAGAACCACTGTTTTATTATCGGCTGATGGAGAGGCTCTCCCAAAAACCTGCACCCACACCGGCCCTTCGTGGAACAGGTGCTCTAGGGCAGGGGTGGGGAACCTGTTCCATGGAGGGCTGGTGTGGGTTTTTGGGATGACCTCTCAATCAGCCAACTGATCAGGATTGGAGTTGAGAACCACTGTTTTATTATCGGCTGATGGAGAGGCTCTCCCAAAAACCTGCACCCACACCGGCCCTCCGTGGAACAGGTGCTCTAGGGCACAGGGTGTCAAACTCCAGTCTTGGGGGGCCGGAGTCCTCTGTAGCTTAGTTCTTTCCCTGTACCACTGCAAATGATTCAGTTCAAGAGCTGTGTGGTAATTAGCACAAGGAGGTGCACAGAGTTGAACTGTGTGTTGAATGAGGGGAAACCCAAAAAAATGTGTAGGGCTCCGGCCCTCCAGGACTGGAGTTTGACATTCCTGCTCGAGGGTTAGCATGGGAATCATTCAAAAAGGGGGAAAAATGCAAACACAGAATTGGTTCTGATGGTACAAGGCACCACTAAGAAGCATTCTACTTCGTCACTCCATTTGTGTTGTATGTAGAGCTACTCTGTCAAATTCTTTGTACTTGTTCCTGTAGTGTAAGTAAACATTTGCATTTTTTTATCTATCTGCTGCATTATTTCTGAATTTTGTGACTAAGAACCTTAAGCAACACTCCTGCCTGTACATTTCACAAGACCGGAAGACCTTAGTGACAGTCTGAGTAGAGAAATGACTGAAAGTAACTGACCTTCAGCTGATACTTATTTTTTTTTGTGAATTTGCCAGAAATGTACGACAGTAAAACTTTTGCACATTGCAGTATAAGGTGTCATTTATTTTGGTTATGCTGCAAAAAGTAATTCAGAAGGTATTTAAAAAATTTTACTTCATTAATAATTTGGAATTTAGCATCAGCTTTGTTTCAGTTCTGGGCTTTTCTTGTGTCTTTTCAGGCTGCTCTGGAGCATGGTGACCCAGTCTTCTCACCTCCGCTCTCTGCTGCCCTGCAACCTTGCGATGTAGCCACCCTGTTAAAGCAATTCCTGCGTGAGCTGCCCACTCCACTCATACCCTTTGAGCTGCAGGGGGTGCTGTTTCGTGCTCAAGGCCTAGAGGCTGACGGGTTCCAAGATGGCGAACGAGACAGAATCGTTTTGATGGTCACTGCTCTGTTCCCAGCCTCCCAGGCTCGTGCTCTTAGGTATTTTTGCACCTTCCTGAGGAACACCGCTAAGAGGTTTGTGTGTGCTACATCGTTTGTTTTTTTCTCCCCATGCACGCCTGTATGTTTCCTCCCCGCTCATACTCTTTGTTTCTCTATTCACTGCTTTCTGGCCCTCAGATGCAGCGAGAATCGCATGGAGGTCGGTAACCTCGCTCTGGTTATTACTCCTAATCTGCTGCACTGCCCGCCTGTGGGTTCCAAACTGACCGAGGGCACGGGGAGGCTGTTAGACAGACAGGCCGAGGTCATCAAGGTGCTCATCATGCATGCTGATCTCATCGGTAAGCATAATGACAGGCCAGTATGGGAAGACACTGGTATCACCTTACGCCTAGGCTTTGATTTATAAATAAACCCTGCTTTTGTGCCGTGTTCAGTTTTTGTCATTATTCTTTTCCTTTATATACTGGGCATCCAATAGGGGTTGTTCCTCCAGCCATTATGGAGTCATTGTCCTCAATGCCTCAGTCGGGCAGTACTACGCCCCCTACAGATGGGCTGTTCTTTCATGAGAGGGCTGCACTTGGCGTATACAGAAGCTTGAGGCGCCAGAGAAGGCGCAGTGTGGGAGGTGAGATTTTTGACAAAGTTTGGGCGGGGGGGTAGACTACTTCATTTTAAAGGTCTTTACTATTAATTTAGGATAGATGTACATATAGCTTCCATGTAGATGGATGGATTAGCTTATTTCTTGGTTTAATTTTGGATGTTGAACAGTTATTTTCTTCTCTCTGTGCCTCAAGAGATGTTTGTAGAGGCGCTGAGCAAACTGAAAACTGGTCGCACTCCAAACGGTCATTCTCAGCACTCAGACAACATACTGGGTATGGGAGAAACATTTCATACTCATAACATTTTGGACTTTGTGTATGTGACCAATTCCGTTTGTCAATCCCAAACTGCACCAGGTGGCACCAATTTATGTTTTAATTAACTGTTAAAACAGTAACTAAGTAATAGGGTCAAATCAATGAATCTAGTGGAAAATGTAGCCGGAACCATATTTACTACTTTGAAAAGTGTCCTCTGGTTCCGGCACACTCTCCCAGTTGCTGATCTCTCTGCAGTAAAATTTACTGTGGAAAGTCCAGATGTTCTACAGGTCCTCCCCTTATTATCCACCATCTTAGGCCAACATATCAGGCCCACGTCCCAATCAACCAGCACCATCAAAAGAAAGTCTACTGAGGACACTCTTCCAGAGCTTGTGGGATCTGCCAAAAAGAGGTACCTGTTTCCTCTGCTTGCTCTCTCTATTTTATTTTTAAACTTCAGGATTGTATTGTTTAGGTTGTCAATTTCCATTTTAATGGTGGTTGTTCTGCAGACGATCGATCCATGATCTGAGAGAGGATAGCAAGCCTGTTATTCAGTCCTGCACAGATGGTTAGTTTTTATATATATATATTTATAAATCAATGGATTAAATGTTTCACAACCTTTGTCTGCCAACTCCGTAGCAGCTCGAGAATTCTCTCCCACTTAGATTCTGAATCCACGGCAAGTCAAAGCCCCACACCTAGTCTCTCGTCTGTCCTCTCCGTAACGGAGGGAAATGACGAACATGAACCTTTGTTGTCCTCCGGCATGTCAGAGAAGCAGAAGAGCCAGAGAAGGAGCATCAAAAAGTCACAGAGGTTGTTTTTCTTGTCGGCCAGCAGTTTTAGTGTAACGTCTACAAGTTTGTCTTCAGCAGTAATGGGATATTCTTTCTCTTTAGATTTTCTGAATTCCAGTTTACACTCCAGTACATCTTTAGGTGCCTACCTGTGATGGTGCCCTCAACAGGTTTCTGAATTACCGTATTTTTCGGACCATAAGACGCACCTTTTCCTCCCCCAAAAGAGGGGAGAATAAGTCACTGCGTCTTATGGTCCGAATATTGCTCTGCTCACATGCTTTAACCTTCTGGGGTCGAATGCATAGTTGGCGACGCAGCGTACTTCTCGCGTCTATTTCAGTTT